TTCCGATCGTATTATCCAGGTATTATTTTATCCTTGTTTAACATTTAGTGAACAATAAGGAAAAAATAATAGTTGAGGAACACAAGTATTAATCCAAACGTACTGAAGTCCATAGTTATAAGATTTATGATTGCAATATATTTGGATTTAGCAACGCACAAATATTTCAAATGAAACCGACATCGAAATCCGACGTGGTTTCGGCTGATGTCGAAAAGCATCAGCAGACGGCGTCCGCGGCGGAGCGGGCGTTGGAAGTGGTCCACAGATGGATGATGGAAAAAGAGAGGCGTCGGAGTGGAAACTGGGCGGTTCCGGAAGTGGCCGAGGAGGGCTATCGAGCCGGATAGCCCAAGGTTTGAGCCGGTGACCCCGCCGTTACCAGTGGAGACGGAGGAATAAAGTCACGCGAAGTATTCCAGAAGTTAAATATTTTCTATGGATTTATTTTTTATTTTATCGTTAATTTTTATTTTTTTTAATCTTATTAATAATCATTGATGTTTTCTAACATAAACCACAAGTTGTAAAGCGTGAATGAGAGTATAATATGAATAAAATAACATGTAATCAATGAATGGCGTTCCCCAAAATCCTTACCTGGATAACTAAAATAAAAAAGAGAAAGAACTAATAATAATACTTGTAATGAAAATGTGATGACAATATCTGGCTACCAACAAATTGAGATAAAGTTAATCGATGCGTTAGCATTTATTTGAATTATAATTTAGTATGCATAGTTGTTTAATAATCGGAGATCAAAAGAGAATGTTAGGAAAATAAGTCCAAACCCAGAAGTCACGTGATCACCTGTAATAGGAAAATGCGAGATTAATTTATAATTGTAATCCATGAATGTTATTTTATTTATATGTAGAAACCAACGTACATAGTTGTTTTGAAGTTTTATAAGCGAAGGCGGATCATGCGACCACCGGATAAAGCGATCGGTCACGTGATTATCTGTAACAGAGAAACAGGGCGTTATTTTGACAATGTAATCCATAAAATATTATTATTTTAGTTAATTTAAGAAATATACCAAGCGGCGAAGGGCTCCGAGCCAAAATTGTCATCACACCTATAATCGAAAAGTCTAAGAGTTAATTTGGTACAGGAAATGAGCTTGGTTTTAAAGATTTATCCACGCGAATAAGTAAAAACGGCCAGGTAAAGCGATATTAAGTATTTCCAAAACGGATAAAAGAAATTAATTATAATTTTAGTAGTTCGACATTGAAATGGTCGAACTCTGATAGTTTTGGGAATGTTATTCAGTGAGACGAGCCCAAACATTGGGTAAAGCGCCGGATTGGTTCGGCGAACCGGCCA